AAAGAAATAAACATAAACTAACCATGGCTTTTATCACATTCTAGAGAGAGAGAGGTTGCAGAGCCCATAACTATATTTTGAAATTAAACAAATAAAATACACATGAAACTACTAACTATGGCTTTCAACACTCCCTAGAGAGAGAGTTACAGAGTCCATGGCTATATTTGCAATTAAAAGGAAATAAATGGAAGTAAACCACAAAAGTGAAAGAACCAAAACTATGAAACTTTTACTCACAGGGCATGTATAATATTTTCTTCCTGGGTTTTGTCGAGACTTTGAGATGCTAACAGGGCAAGGCCCCCCACCACATGGGCACTGCACCTCCAAAGAAGATCCTTCACCATTGCTTGGACCCATTTCTCCATTCTCTCTCTTCCAGTACACAGAGGAATCCTCTCTCTTTGGGTTCTCATGGCGATCCTCTCTCCTCAAACCCTCATTGCAAACTTTCTTTCTCTTCAATTTCTCAGGGCAGTCTCGAGCCCAGTGACCTCTCTCAAAACAGGTGAAGCAAACATCCCTGGGTTTAATCACAAATCCATCTGAAAGAACCAGAGGACTCTTGCTTGGTGAATTCGAGTTCGAACCCATCTCTGATTTCAGTCACTCATGCAAATCAAAAGACTGTATTTTTTGTGCATCACTAGAGAGAGAAAATGCAAACCAGTAGACTGGTTCTCGACTTATATAGAGAGAGATAATGCAAATCAAAGCAAACGATTTTATTCTCCTAGAGAGAGAAAAATGTGGCACTGTCACTGGCTTCTCCCAGAAGCTGAAGCCGAAAGTTAGAGCTGGCGAACCTTTCCCAAAAGCAAGTTACATAGAGTGCCCACCCGTGTTTGTAGTTCTCCACCACCATTTGGAAATACTGTGAGAATTAGTTTTAAGTTTTTAACCTTTCAATCCAAATATTAACGTCAATAAACTTTTATTTAATTGTATTTTATGCTGCATTTGAAAAAATTAATGTCGCGTCATCCAGGTGTTAGAAAATTTAAATTTCTTTTTTCTAGATTAATCATTCTGTAACTTTTTAAGTGGTTATCAAAATTTTAGATGAGCACGTAATATGCTCCCTCATGAGCCTAGTTTATTTTTACTCCGCCATCCGACTTGGTTGAATTACGTGTCCCGTGTCTCTTATGTCTTCTCAAAGGGTGTGCTTTCTATAAGATTTGCAATCTCACCTCCTCATGAAATAATTTTTATGTAAAATATTTTTAGGATAATCTATTTTTATATTTAATTATAAATTTTAAACTTTAAAAATAATTAAAATCAATTACATTTATAAACATGTGAAAATTTAAAAATAGATAGTCTAGATAATGTGCTTTAAGATGCATTATTTTTGGTACTCAAAATCTTTTTTTTTTCATAATCATACATCTCGACATCAAGATGCTCAATTAGAGGGTTTTTTAATATTAAAATAATATTTTCCGATAGATTTTTGAGGTGCATCCATCGTTGTACATTTTAAACTTGCAACCTTATATAAAATTTTACCCTTTTTAAAACAGGCAGTTTTGAAAAAGAAAAAAAAAGATGGGCTTGTTGACTGATTTAAAGAAAAAGTTTATATAAAATTGCATCTTTAAAAGGTAGAAATACGGATGGACCTCAAAAATTCATGGTATATAATGTTGATGTAAAATGTTCTTAGGATTATCTCAAAATCTATTTTTATATTTAATTATAAAATTTTAAATTTTTAAAATGGTTAAAATCAAATAGAGCTATAAACAAATGAAAATCTTGAAAATAAACGGTATAGATAATATGTTATAAAATACACTATTTCTGAGACTTTAAATCTTTTTATTTTTCATGATCATACATTTCAATGTCCGGATGATCAATGAAAGGGTTTTTCTTTTGAAAAAGTAAAAAAAGATAGGCTTGTTGACTAACTTAGGGAAAAAGCTTATATAAAGTTGTATCTTTAAAATGTAGAAATACATATGCACCTCAAAAATTCATCGGATAATATTGTTTTAATGTTAAAAAACCCTCTAGTTGATCATCTCGATATAAATATGTATGATTATGACAAAAAATATATTTTGAGTCCCGAAAATATACAACACATTATCTAGACCATCCATTTTCAAGATTTTCATATGTTTGTAGATATACTTGATTTTAACTATTTTTGAGCTTATAATTTTATAATAAGATATGAAAATAGATTTTCAGATAATCCCAATAATTTCTTACATCACAATTACATGCTATGATAAAATTTGGTGGTGGAACTTAATCGGATTGTTTAAGGTGTAACCTTATAGAAACCACACCCCTAACTTAATACTAATCTATAAAAATTACAAATAACCCCCAACATAAGATTTTTATGCAAGTTACCCCGAACCAAACTTTTTGTCTCACTTTTTACTACAAAATATACTTTCTTAACGAATACCCCCAACCCAAAAAATCAAAATAAAAAAAGTCTAAACTATTCTCCTTTAATTTTACCCATGCCTCTCTCTCCTCTTTCCCACAAAAAAGTGGTCCGGCGTATTCTTGGGGCGGTCCGATAGTGTAATGTCAATCTGTTAAATAACAGTGGCGGTTTGGCAGTACAAATGGCGGTCTGGCATTGACAAAGAATGGTTTGACAATAGACCCATGGGGTCTGGCACTTCCAAAGAATGGTCCAACAATAGGCCCGTGCGGTTCGGCAATAGGCCCATGCACTTCGGCAACATGCCCAAGTGCGGTCCAACAATATCATAGAGCTGTCCGACACTTTTTTAGTTTAACGGGCTTCGGCAATGTCAAAGAACGATCCGACAGCCCATGTATGCCCCCGTGAATGTCCAGCCACAATTAAATTTTTGTGTATGAAAAAGGATATTTTCATAAAAAACAATGTACCTTTTTTTACTTGTGTGGGTATTTGCTAAAAACGTACATTGTGGGGGAAAAAAGTAATAACAAAAGTTCGGTTGGAGTTACTTGCATAGAAAGTCTAGTTTTGAAAGTTATTTGTATTTTACCCTACTATTTTCAATATATGATCATTATCCCATTATTCTATAAAAAGGAAAAACGCGAGAGAACTATTCTATAGAATATTCTTGAAAAATTCCATGAAGCTTTTTTTTGTAGAGAAGAAAAAGAAGAGAGCGAGCATTTTCTTTTAGAGAAAGTTAGTTGAAGAATCTCATAGAGAGAAAACCCTTTAAACGAATTCAAAGAGCCAAAAATAGTTTGTTTAATAGTGGATTTTGTGTCTTTCTCAAGTTAACGTAGTTTGAAAAGATGAACCACATAATCTCGGTGCTAACAAGTTTTATATCTTTATTTGTCTTATTGCATGTTTTCCTACTTGTACACAAACTTTCATATATTTTTTGTACTCCATGTATCCACGTTCCACTGCGTGCATCCGCATTTTGCGAGAGGGTTATAATTTGATGAGCCCAACCGATTGGATGGTGGACATTGGAGCTTATTCTTGCAATTTCCATTCTCCAACAAAATCATGGTGGAGGTTTATGCTGCCTAGCGCATAAAACAATGTACTTGAGCAGGACATGGACTTGAGAAGAAAAAATGGATTTCAAGTTTTGGAACCAGTACATCTTGTAACATCTGTTTGGGCTGTCAATTTTTAAGTTATTCAAGTTTTCATAAATATGCTCGATCAACACTATTTTTAAAGTTTTAAATTTTATAATTAAAGATGAAAATATATTTTAAGATTATCATAAAGATTTTCAGTTTTGCAACTATATTTCTCGATACCATTTGAAGGTGGCCTCTAATTTGATTGTTTAGAGCCTCGGCTCTATACGAACCACACCCTTTCACATATGGGTATTCACTTTTTTTTTCAAAACAAATATTTGTATGGAGGGAAATTTGTTTCCTTTCACCGTTGGGTTAGGTTTCAAGGAGTCTAGTTTGCTTATCAATTTACATGAGTTTCTTCTCTAAAATTCATTTTAGAGATAGATTTTAAATTTAAATTTCTAAGAAGTTAGAATCTCAGTCATAGTGAACCTGAAACTTTATTAAGCAGAAAATTTATCAAAAAACTGTTTTTTAAAATATTTTTAACACCATTTACTTTTTATTTTGGTAGGGCCACCATTTTCTCACATTAAATTTGAAGATAGATGTTTGATCACACAGCTTTAGGGGAAGATTCTTTTCCTTTTCCTTTTTTCTTTGGGAGAGATATTGTAAGATAACCCATACATATTTCCATCTTTGGATGTAAAAATTATTAAAAAAAAAAAGGGCACTGTCTTTCGATACTGCCGTTCAAAGGTACATTTAAGAAGTGAATAAAAAGGGGGTACTCAAAAAAATACAATAAAAAATATTTTATATTTTGTGATTGTTTATTTATTGTATAGGGTCATGACCACTTTTAGCCATGGATCCGGTTTCTATGCGGTCAAGCCCTCATATGTAGAATGCGGGCCTATTAATAAATCTATATTTGAAATGGATTTTTGGATTTAATTTTTAAAGACATGTAATCTCTAATATGTCCTTAAACAAAATAACTGCATTAGCAAATAACAAAAACCGTGAAGGCATATGATCATTGTTTGAAGAAAAAAACTAAAAATAGCATAGGATTGCAGCTAACTAAAATATAAGAAACACAAATGTAAAATAGTGGTATACGTATTCCGCATATACCAATGGAATAAAAAGGTTTTTGAAAAGGTGAAATTAATCAAAATCCTGTATGTAGAAAGAAAGTAATGAAATGTTTAAGCAAATCCAAATCTTTTAACCTCAACTTGAATTCCTAGTTGCTTAAATGTTTATCTTATCTAAATTTTAGTGGGAGGTTAGGGTGATCAACTGGTATTATAAATTTTGAAAAATAAGGAATTTGATTTCTAATGCATTTTAAAATATTTTTTACATTATGATAAAGATTAAAAATTGTTTTGGTCATTAATACTCACTTTTGTATTTTCCCATATTTTTTAATTTTTTTTTTAAAATAGCCCTTGGAAAATATAAAATGGGTTAAAATCCACTTTTTTCATTAATTTTCAACTTCATTTGAATGTGTTTTATTTTAATCATTCTTTATATGTTTTTCATATTTTAGTAGGCTTTTTTGTTTTTTTTTTAAAAGATTTTCAACACTTTTTGGACCATCTGGGATTTGCCTGCTCGTTTGGTTTATCGGTTAGGCCGGTTAAACCGCTTCCAGGCCCATGTCCGGTTAACCGTTCCGGTTCGATTTTACAAACACTAGGAGTCACAAAGTTCGAGAAAGTTTTTATTGACCTTCAGGCACGATCAATAGAAAAATATGTTTAAAGAAAGATTAAACAAAACACTTCAAACTGAGGTTAAAAAAGTAATTAAAAAACATTTTAAAAAATCAATTTGTGATTGGGGGTATTTTTAAAATAATCCAAAAACGGGAAAATACGAAAAATAACTATTTATGGCCAAACCACTTTCCAATCAAATGCCAAAACGATAGAAAACATAAGAATTTTATTACAAATCAATTCTTTATTTTTTGAGATTTTTGATTTATTTTAATATCCCCAAGTGAGACGGTCAATTCGGGGTAACTTGGGCTCGCCAAGGTGCCAAGCCGGAGTACTCGGTCTGAATACTCAGCAGTAGGATCGAGTAGTCAAACATCGGGTGTAATAGAGCGAGCAAAGGACTGTGGACTCTCATGTTGCTTTGGCTTGAGATTTTGGATGTCTGTAAATGGCTTGGTGGTTTCGTTTGATCAAATGAGGTAGCTGATTCTTTGGCGGGTTAATTTAGCTTCTTTGGTTAGCTCTGAATCAAGGAATGATTGGGTATTGG